ATGGACAGAGGAGCCTGGTAGGCTATAGTCCATGGGGTCACAAAGAGTCAGACATGTCTGAGTGACTTCACTTCACTTCAGAGAGAATAAATCTTTTCCATCATATCAGGAGAGAAAATTTCTATTTGCAATTTTTTTTTAACTCAGTAAATCTCTTGTTTTTATTTTTCAATTTTAAACACCTTTAAAGGATTAGAAATATGGAAACATAAAAAATATGTTTGTTTGTTTACATGTATATGACAGTATGAATGCTTGTTATTAAAAAGAAAAAATGAGATATTTCGTCTCTTTTTTCATCCTAAGCATATGGGGGCAAAACATCATAAGATGATGATCATAAGAGTATGAGCATTGTAGGGTCTTTGTTAGGATTAAATGAGATAATCCACAGAAAGTACTCACATACTACCTGGAACATAGTGATGCCCCATATTTATATGGGTTTTTTGTCAATCCTTGCCAAAAGAAGAAATGCTCTCTATTGAACAATCTGAAGAACTAGTAATGGAGATAGTAATGAGTGCTGGGAAATCAGTGGCCAAACGTGTAGCAGGAAGAAGAGGAGGACAAACCTTACATTATATATCAGTCTTCCTAAATGAACAGTGAAAAAGAAGAAAACAATAGAATAGGAAATGTTAGAGATCTCTTCAAGAAAATTGTAGATCCCAAGGGGACATTTCATGCAAGAATGGGCATAATAAAGGACAGAAACTGTAAGGACTTGACAGAAGCAGAAGAGATTAAGAGGTGGCAAGGATACAAAAGAACTATACAGAAGAAGTTTTAATGACCCAGATAACGATGATGGTGTAGCCACTCTTCTAGAACTGGACAACTGGAATGTGAGGTCAAGTAGGCCTCATGAAGCATTACTATGAACAAAGCTAGTGTAGGTGACAGAATTCCAGGTGAGCTATTTAAAATCCTAAAAGATGATGCTATTAGAGTGGTGCACTCAGTATATCAGCAAATTTGGAAAACTCATCAGTGACTACACTAAAGTCTTTGACTATGAGGATCACAATAGACTGTAGAAAATTCTTTAAGAGATGGGAATACCAGACCACCTTACCTGTCTCCTGAGAAACCTGTATGCAGGTCAAGAAGCAACAGTTAGAACTGGACACGGAAAAAAAGACTACTAGTTCCAAATTGGGAAAGCAGTACGTCAAGGCTGTATATTGTCAATCTGATTTTTTAACTTTTATACAGAGTATATATGCAGACTATCAGCTGGATGAATCACAAGTTGGAATCAAGATTGTCAGGAGAAATTTCAACAACCTCAGATATGCAGATGACACCACCCTAATGACAGAAACTAAAGAGGAACTAAAGAGTCTCTTGATAAAGAGGAAAGAGGAGAGTGAAAAAGCTGGCTTGAAACTCAACATTCAAAATGCTAAGATCATGGCATCCAGTCCCATCACTTCATGGCAAATAGGAGAAAAAGTGGAAGCAGTGACAGATTTTATTTTCTTGGGGTCCAAAATCACTGCAGATAGTGATTGCAGCCATGTAATTAAAAGACACTTGCTCCTTGGAAGGAAAACTATGACAAACCTAGACAATGTATTAAAGAGCAGAGATAACATGTTGCCAACAAACGTCCATGTAGTCGAAGCTATGGTTTTTCCAATAACCACGTACAGGTGTGAGAGTTAGACCATAAGAAAGCTGAGGGCCGAAGAATTGATACTTTTGAATTGTAGTGCTGGAGAAGATTTTTGAGAATCTCTTGGACTCTGAGGAGATCAAACCAGTCAATCTTAAAAGAAATCAACCCTGAATATTCATTGGAAGAAATGATGATGAAACTCCAGTACATTGGCTACCTGATGTGAAGAGTTGACTCATTGGAAAACACCCTGATTCTGGGAAAGACTGAGAGCAGGAAGAGAAGGGGGAAGCAGATGATGAGATGGTTAGATAGTATCACCGGCTCAATGGACATGAATTTGAGCAAATTTCAGGGGATACTGGAGGACAGAGGACCCTAGCATGCAGCAGTCCATGGGTTCACAAAGAGTCACTTAGTGACTTAACAGCAACAAATATCTCAATCTTACTATGTTAATTATATGGTAGAAATTTGTGGCTAGAAACTTGCCTACTAGTTTGCCTCAAACTATACATGTGAACTTACTGATTTCACATGACGACTTCAAGAGGGCCAAGGACGTTGTAAACATAAAAATGGGAGCTTTTAGTTCAAGCTCAACCAGTGTCTTCTCATTCTCTGCCCTCCTCACTCCCCAATCATGTTTTCCACAGTTGAATTTCCTTTTGGTCTCTTCCCATTGCTCCAAACAGACTTGCAGGTGAAGTCCCATGTCTCTGGGTTGGTATTCAAAGCTCTTTATAATCTGGTCTCCAGAATTTTACCAGATACATCCACCATGTCTTGTCATAGCAATAGCAGCTCAGCCAAACAGAACTCTTTGCCATGCCCTCAAATCCCTCTCATTCCCCCATTTCACACCTTCACTCATGTTCTTTCTTCTTTCGGTGTGAACATGTTACTCACTCTTCAAGCTCCAGCCCCTGTCAACTCTCTCCTGAAGTATTCCTTACTCATGCCAAAAGAGTGGTCATCTTTGATCAATTCTTGCCTCAATTTTTTCTTGTCCCACAGTTTTCAAATTTTTAGCTGGAATCACTGTTAAGAAATACATTTTGCATTGACACACATTTCATCCAGACATACACACCACACACACACACACACACACATACTTCTAAGCAAAAGCTTCATGAAACAATACTTACTCTCATTATTTACAAAACTACTCTAATGTTGTCTCTTTTCTCTTTCGTTTGGGGAAAAAGCTCTGACTGCAATGCATTAAATAGATTTAAATTTCTCTTTAATTGTTAATAACCCAAAGTTTGAGAAACACTGTTATACACATCTCAGAGTATCCTTTGTTATTTATTGTGTACAGACATGTTCCCTACCATATAAAAAGCTCCTTAAGTGTGATACCGTTTGGTACAACATAAAGTCTTCCACTGTATTTAACTGTGCTTTTCATATTAGCTACCAGTAAGTGTGTGGAAGCAAAAAAGAAAGAAGGAAGGAAAGAATGAAGTAAGGAAGGGAGAAAAGAAATATGAAAAATATCTCTGGAGTTGTGGATTATACTCGGAAATTAAGGCTGTTTTCTATTTAGCAAGTCAAAGATAGAAATCATTCAAGCTATTTACAGATGAAGTTCCCATCCAAGTAGTATATGCTTCTTTGAATAACTTCTTCTTCAATCTCAATTTAAACTTAGAAATTAGTATTATATCATCGACTCTAGGACAAAAAGAAAGATAGCAAAAACAAAATGACTGATTAATTGAGTGAAGGCAGCTTCATATGTGCTGTGTTCCTTTTATCTGCTAGATATTGCAAGGCAGGAGGGGAGGGAAGTAAGACCAAGGGTGTGAATGTATCTCCAGAGGTGAAAAAAACCTTTGATTTGGTTTAGGTAAAGCCTGTAAAAAGACAATGTTGTTCCTGTGTGCGCAGAACACGTCAGTATATGCTGAACATGTCAAGCAATTTCTGTGAGCTCTTTGTAAACAAAGTCAGAGCTAAGCACTGACTCTCCCAAGCCCCTCAAATCTACAAAATGAAGCATGAAGAACACTCTTATCTCATGATATCTCAAATATTGCTTTTCACTGACTTTCAAGATTATTGTTTTTTCCTCAAATTGGAAATTTAAATTTGACAAATTATATGAATGACATACATTTACTGTAATGACATACCCAATTTGACTGGAGTTTGAACATAAATTTTTGTTATTCAGAGTCCACCCTCTTATCAACATGTGTTTCTCTGACTATATATACAACTGACCTTTGAACAAAATGTGTTTGAACTACTTGGATCCACTTATATGATTGTATGTTTGTGTGTGTGTGTGCTCACTCATGTCCTACTCTTTGTGACTCCATGGACTGTAGCTCCACCAGGCTCCTCTGTCCATGGGATTTTCCAGGCAAGAATACTGGAGTGGGTTGCCATTTCCCTCTCCAGGGGATCTTCCCAACCGAGGGATAAAACTCACATCTCTTGTGTCTCCTTCATTGGCAGGCAGATTATTTACCACTGTGCCACCTGGGAAACCCCATATGCTTGTATAAATGTTAAAAAATTACAATAATATTATGTGAAGTAAATCTTTCCATAGATCACTGAGAAGTCCTTCATGCTTCCCTTTAAAAAATAATATTGCAATGGAAGTTTTAAGAGTTATTGTAAGACAGTGACTTTCTTTTGCCAAAAAATAATTATTAAAAATAAATATATAATATATATAACATTATATTGTCTTCACTTCTGTGCTTTTGGTTATTACAACTGAGAAAAATAAATCATTTTAAAAGGCAGATTTATGGTGGCTCTATTGCCAAGAATTTAGGCTTGTAGCAATTATTGATTTTTTTAATCTATTGTCTACTAATATATTCCCAAGAGACAATAAATTTACATATATAGTTAGACACACACACATATATCTATATCTATGTATATAGAGAGAGAGAAGGGGGGAGGAGAGAAAGAAAAGAGAATGTATGTCCCATGAATTAATACTGAGAATTTAGAGTTTAGTAACAATAACTTGCTGTAAAAAACACTTGGTAAAATATTCACTGTCCAGAGAGTATTTGTTTAATTATTTCACCTGACAATGTTACTTTAGTTGCCTTAATTAAGTGTCAAACTTACACATGTATTCCTCACTAGTTTTGTAAGATATTATTTTCTTTCAGAACCACAGACTGCTCCTGCAACCATCTTAAAAATTCATGCCATCAGTGAGAAGCTGATGGAGTTAATGAATGAATACTGAACTCAAGGTTGAGTTCTTTTACAATTAGAAAATTAATTCCAAAACCATACATACAGTTTATTTTGTTTAAATATACTAGAATGTTGATTGGCAAAATGTAAATTTTAATGAAACTACTTTAACACAATTTATTTTTTTCTGAAGAAACAACTACATCTGCTTCACTATCAACAACTTCTGAAAGAATCACAACTTTGCCAGCAATAAACTCAGCAACATCACCAAATGTTGAGAAATCAACAGTTGAAATATCTACTAAAGGTAGGATTAATTTTTCATGGAATTTATTCTAACTTAAACAATAAAATTATCACCCATACAATTTAATCATAGGAAAATAATTTGGGAATCTTGTATCTATGGTATGAAAGTCTGGGTTATTTCCTTATTTTGAAATGTATGTGTTATTTTGGGTTGAATACAGAACTCTGAGATCATAGTGGACTTCTTTTTTTGGATCACTTTTTGTTTGAGAATGATCTTATTGTAAGGGTTATGCATACAAAGTTTATTTTTAGAGAATAAAGAATTATCATTTCTCAGTCACAAAAATATCTTTCTAACTATTCCAGTTCCCCACTTAAGCAGCACAGCTAACATGGTGGAACTGTATTAATAATAGACTGATTTTATTAGTTACATTGAGCTGATAATAGTTTTAATCAGTAAATTTCAGTAGCAGTGTCATCATTATGGTTACTGAACTGAGTGACACCTGTATCATGTTTTATGGCTCTTGGTATTAAAGAGAATTACCTTATCATCTATGAAAAATAAAATGAGCCATTAGTATCATTCAGCTAAAAACTCAAGAGATTATTAACCCAACACATAATGCATTTCCCATCCTGAAAAAAACATAAAATGAGGCATATCATTCAGGTCCAGTAATCAGTGGAGCAAGGGAAATATAAGTGTTTGTTGATTACCTATGGGCAGAAATATGATTAGCATGCTAAGGTCACAGAAATACCTAAAAATCATGTACCCTACTGAACTGAAATCTCCACTACTGTCTTTCTTGCCCTCCTATTCCTCATTTAACTTCCATTCGAAGACATACAGAAGACTGATAAGAGCTAGTTCACTGGGCTTGAATGTGATGGTGATACTCAAGAGAAAAGGAGTATTGTGAATATAGTTCATTGTTTCCAAACTGTCTAATTCTAATGTGAAACCAAACCAACCCTTAGAACTTCTTTACCAAACTAAGAGAGAGAATTACATTGCACCTTGAGGGCAGCACAGGGGATTTATTCTCAAAATGTGGTACAATCTACATTACCAACTAGGAGAAACGCCAAATGACCGTCAGCGAGCCAGGGACCATGAAACCTTCAGCCAACACTCCACAGGTTGAGTTATTTCATTGTTTATTTTAATTTTTACAAAGCATCTTTCTCTCTCTCTCTCTCTCTCTATATATATATATATATATATATAAACGTGTATATTTTTATATAAAGGTATATAATATAATATCTCTATCTCCCTTCAATCTCTGTGAGTTGCCAAATGAGTCCTTAGCATAAAATTATTTGATTTTGATAAAACATATTACTTTTGCAAGCGATAGTGTGGAAATGTTAGTCACTCAGTCATATCCAACTCTTTGCAATGCCATGGACTACACCCCACCAGGCTCCTCTGTCCAGGCTAAAATACTGGAGTGGGTAGCCATTCCCTTCTCCAGGGGGTCTTCCTGACCCAGGGATCAAACCTGCACCTCCCACATTGCAGACAGATTCTTTCCCATCTGAGTCACCAGGAAAGCCCTTGTAATCAATTATATTCCCCCCAAAGAACCAGAAAACAGAGAAGACAAGTGTGGATGTTGCATGAAGCCCCAAAGAGTTAAAGTTCCACAGTTTTTCTGTTAACTACTTGGAACGTATGCTTTCTAAGTGGGAATATCCTTAGCCTGCCTACAATGGTCTATGATGAATAACACTGTCTAAATAATAACACAAGTCCTGACCACCATGGTAAATGATCATGAAAGGGTGGAGGTGGAGGTTTCACTGAAAAAATCCAGAGTTGTAATTTGTGATACCAAGAATTCATCTTACCTTTTTCACTTGAAAGAGAAACTCTGTACCTACTCTTGTGAAACATAATGGGGGAGACCTTTACATCAACTTTACCTTTGGTGGCTCCTGTCGAGGGACAGTCGATAGAACAGTTTAAATCATGTGTACACACACACACACACACACACACACACACACACACACACACACACATGTTTCTCCTAATTCCTTTTGAGGGACATTTTTACTGTTTTATATTACCTATGTAAAAAAAACTAAGCTAATCTGTCTGTGTTTTTCAAAAGTTGTCCAAGTAAGTTTTAAACTATTCACATCCAATTATAAAAATGGTAATAGACCAGAATAGTTTTTCATTTTTTTAAATTTTCATTATGAAGATGTCCATATGTACCCACAAATAAAGAATACTGTAATTCATCTCAGAATCAATAATCATCAAGCTTTTACCCTATTTGCTTCATTTTTCTTTTTCTTTCTCCTTCTTTCCATCCTCCCGCCGTCCCTTCTTTCCCTTTTTCCTGCTTTGTACCACCCTCTTTTCCTTCCTTCCTGCTTTTTTTCTTCCTTTATTCTGTCTCTCTCTCTCTCTCTCTCTCTCTCTGTATTTTGCTTTTGGATATTTTTAAAATATAAATTTATTTATTTTAATTGGAGGCTAATTACTTTACAATATTGTAGTGGTTTTGCCAACAGACTTCATGCCATTTTACCTCTGCACACTAAGAGTGCATCACAAAAAATAAGAATAATTTATTACAAAGCTACAGTGTCATTATCAAATTTTCTGAATTAATAGTAATGAATTAGTATCATTTAAAATCCATTTCAAAGGGCTTTAAGGGTTAAAATCTAGTAACCATGAATAGAACAGTGGGAGAAAGAAGGAAATGAGCACATTCTGGGGTCATGATGAATGAACGATGATGGAGAAGAATGATGAAGAATGATGGTGGAGAAAAGATGAAAAAGGAAAGACAGCTTCTGATGTCCACAAACTCCTTGGGTCCAGGATGAGAAACAGAGAGTCTGGCATGGTGGAAGAGATGGGTGAAGGCATCAGGCAGCCGGGGGTCCATTGCACTTGAAGGAAAATGAGGGAACAACAGTGGAAAAGAGAAAGGAACTCCTTATCTGATTTACTTAATCACCACTTGTATAAGGGCATAAGTTAGTTGGACTTAATATATGGATATTGCTTGTGTTCCTAAAAACAATATACTTAATACACAGATGAGGAATATACATCAGAAGGACTGATGCTGAAGCTGAAGCTCCAATACTTTGGCCACCTGATGTGAAAAGCTGACTCATTGGAAAAGACTGATGCTGGGAAAGATTGAAGGCAAAATGAGCAGGGGGCAACTGAGGATGAGATGGTTAGATAGCATCCGTGACTCAGTGGATGTGAATTTGAGCAAACTTTGGTAACTAGGGAAGGACAGAGAAGCCTGGCGTACTATAGTCCATGAAGTCTCAAAGAGTGGGACACAACTTAGTGAATAAACAACAAAGAAGACCGTGGAAAATTTGCCTCAAATTCTCATACTCTAACCAGTGTATCAGGATATATGGCTTTCTCTTTTCAGGCTTGTGAGGAGTTTTATATGTTGTCTCATTCTTCAAAGTAACCACTTTTAAATTATATAATAATATCATAAAATATCTATAGTGAAATCATTTTTATTCCCCGTTCCTCATGGCCACCAAGGTCATTTTAGACATAAAGTATTTACCAAAAAATACAACATGGAGAAATATTTTTATTTTCATTTTAAGTTGTCCCAGTCAGATTTTCTTCTTAAGGGTCAATAGATAGTTGATTTAAGCATTCATGTTTATCTAAAATATGTACATTTTCCTCCTTATGACAATGGCAGAAATTTTATCATCAGAAAAATGGAAAATGTGCAGTCAAGATGGGAATCTTTGCAGTGATGTAGTCACAGTGGCACAGGTGCTGATAGAGCTTTGCCCAGAGCAGGCTTGTTTTCAGAAGTTTACTCAATTAGAGAGATGGGATTTGATCTATCTCTAGATGTATATCACATGCTCTGCCCATTTTGTTCAAAGGCCAAATGGCCAGGATTAAAATCAACATTTGGTCAACACTGAATGTCATCATTATAAAAGGAACTTTTAAAAATAAACCTGCAATTTCATTATTAAAATTAACTATTGTTCAACATTTTAAGAACACTTTATAGTCAAATATATAAGCTGAATCATAATGCAGAAATAAAAATTCTCAGCACAGATACTTCAAATTTTTGATAGTAAATAGACATTCAGTTTGAACTGAGGTCAGTAGAAAGACCAGGGATTTTTGGCCATTTCTTCCCTATAGGAGGCCAGTTGTGGTGGTGTTTAAGATGCACTTTCACTCTAGAAACAAAGATAAAACTATAAAGAACAGACTTTTAAAAGGCATTCTTGTAAATTTTCTTGTATGATTAATGGGGAAATAAACAGGCTTGGGGACCACATTTTCCTCCATATCCTTCTCCTTTATCCATAGTCTTTGTATTCTTTGTGAAGTTTGAATTTAACCTGAACTACTTGGGATATCTGTTACTTTTTTTTTTTCCTTTTCATAAAATTTTGAAGTGGTAAAGGTGACATTTTGCTTGTAGTTTATCTTCACAAGTTATGACATGTTCCAAAATTAGACAGTTTCTTGAAACCCTTGTGTTCTAAACGGAATTAAATACAACTCTAAAAGCTTATTTTGGAAAATATTATGGATGATGGTTTACTAAACCACTTTTCACAGAGTAGAATTATATTCTTACGATTTAATATTTTATAAACATTTGTTGACTCAAAATGATATATCTCTAAAAGATATATATAGCTATGCGTGTTAAGTCATTTCAGTCATGTCTGACTCTGCTACCCCGTGGATTGTAGCTGACCAGGCTCCTCTGTCCGTGGAATTCTCCAGGCAAGAATATTGGAGTGGGTTGCTATGTCTTCCTCCAGAGGATCTTCCAGGGAATCTTCCTGACCCAGGGATCAAACCCATGTCTCCTGCATCTTCTACACTGCAGGCAAATTCTTTACCCACTGAGTCATCTGGGAAGCCCCAAATATAGATATAATCTCTTAATGTTCATATTAAATTCAGTCTATTTCTTTGGTTAACTATTATATAGTATTATTAATTTTGTGCATGTAATTGACAGACATAACAATCCTCATTAGATATTGCAA